AATGCAAGTGATCGAGTGATACGGTAGGGAGATGGTTGGTAAAATAAGCAGCACGACGACTGGTAGGGGAGGGGTATGGAAATAGAACGATTACGCGAGAGGCTTCCTAGCACTATTGCATCGGAGCGCTGAGCGTAGAGGGGGACCGGTTACGGTGAAAATAAACTCGTACGACGTCGATTACGACATTTGCATGCAAAGGGCTGAAAAACTGAAAGGAGACGGGAGATTCGCCGATGATTCTGTAGAAAACGTAATGATCACGCTGACGACAGGAACGAGACGCTTCGTTGAGAAGCAATGATCGCAGGGAAGCCACTGATCGGAGATGTGTCAGAGGCCCCTGTGCAAAGCATACCTTTGTAGGCTTCACGTTGAGCTCCTTAAAAGCAGCTGTCCGGAACTGTTTCAGAGGTCTTGACTGGTGGGGCCTGCAATAGTCAAGACTGCAATCGAAGACTGGAAAGGAGCTTGGTTTCAAGGGTTTCATCCAGATATCAAATTGAAGTACGTGAATGGAAGACTTTGAATGAAAAGGGAGAGGATGAAAGGGATAATCGCCGATCGGAAGAATGACCATGGTCGATCGAAAATGGATGAGATCTATCCCATGCACAAGTGTTCGTTCTCTTTTAGCTCAATCCCAGAAGTGATTTACGCGCTCACAACTGCGACTCCTCACGGTCCTCCAAGCCGCCTCCGCTGTTGTTTCGGATTCGGTGACAGACCAAAAGGGTGGATAGTTCTAGTTGATCATTACCATTTGTGCTGTTCAATCCCCACGTGAAATGGTCCCTTTTCCAAATCCGACTTCTTAGCCACATTCTAATGCACTGTTCTCATCACACATGACGGAATGACTGAATTGAATTGGATCACGACTGCAATTTTTCGTCACATGTAGGGCTTCTTGTAGAGATGTGGTCCGCAGAGATTTTGGTACCTCGACTGAAGGGAAAGTTTCTTTTGCACCATTATTCAATTTTTGAGGTCAGAGCCCCCACAAGAATGTCAGGTCGGGTTCGGAAAGAAAGATCACTCCACGTACGGATCGAGAAGCCCATGGATGGCATGAATCGAATAAGGGAACATAACGCCTCAGAGGATGAAGCTAATGAAGCTTACATACGGATCTCGAGAAAAGTTGAAGAATACAACTAAATGACACAGCACTTAGGAGAGGAGCTAGACAACATGCCCTTACAACCATTAACTATGACGCAAATTTGAGTTATGAGATCGAATGAGCTTATAAAGAATTTCCCCAATCTCTCGAATGAGAATGATTGAGGCTAAATTGGCGAAGAAAAGATAACCGATCATTAACACGAAAGCCCTTATCGGGTGCTCATGGATCACATGGATAATCGGGCGCTCACGGATCTTCGCATGGATAGCCCACTGAAAAACTGCAGTCTGCTGGTTTCTGATTAATAGCCTCCCGATCGCGTCTGGGAAACACAATGAGGTTTTGGGAACCTCTCGTCAGAGGGATGGAAAACAAGATTTAGAACAAGAAAGGCTGAATCCGCGACGGAGTTTCAGAAAACAGGGAGCAAAAAAAACCGAATGTAATCGGAAGATCGTGAGTTACAGCATCAACGGCAAAGAGTCGTGGATGCTTATAATATTACTTGGTCCTACGGGAGGGGAAATAGGGAAAAGAGTGTTCTCAGTCTACCGTTGAGATGTAAGGCATCCTTCGTGATGAGGAACGTTTTCAATATCACTCATTTGCGTTAGAAAAAGTACTTATTGATGGGACCAATTGGAAATTGTTTCGGTCTTGAAGTTTCAGTTGGATGGTTGTCAAGTTTTTGCGTCTGTTTTGATTTCACATGTGTTGCACATGCCCTTGATAAATAAAAAAAATAAATAAATTCATTGTCTGATAGTGAACAATTAGTGAATCGGTCACCGATCTGCACACCTCCTTCCCCCCCCCCCCCCCCCCCCCCCCCACATCCCCTTTTCTTACCGGACTCCGGGGGC